CCAGCTGAGAACCCTACAGGCTCCTGAGTGGCAGCCCCACAGCTCCCCCTGCTGTCCAGACCCTGCTCCAACCTGTCTGTGCCCAGGAGTCAGGTGGTCCTGATGAAGGCATCTGCCTCCACTGCTGCTTTGGCCACTGCCCACTCCCAGCAGAACCCTGTTCAGGGCAGTCCCACACTCAGCTCACTCTACAGTTCTCCATTTGGGCCTTCTCCTGGGGAACCTGACGTACAGTGTCGCCATCCAGGAGAGAAGCAGACTACAGGGAGAAAGACTCGGCAGGAAAGGGAGAGACCCAAGGACTAGAGAGTGGCTATGGAGGCTACCATAAATGAAACACACAGACATTTAGAAACACACTCATGTTGGTTAGTTTATGTCCCAGACTCCTAGGAGTACACCAGCACAGGGCTAGTCCCAGCTCATCACACCCTGGGATGATGGATGCCAAGTAGCTGTTTAGGGACCGCTTGACAGCCCCAAGAGTGCCCTCTCCTGGTTCTAAGCCTCACAACACCCACTAGAGCCCTGAGAGCCCAGCTGTTGACCATAGCTCCCCTGGCGTCTGCTCCTCCAATTATCTGCGGTTGGATTTATGTGATTTGTCTGCAACGCACTGTTCACTGCTGCTTTAGGTTCTTTTTCCTCTGGAAACACTTCTCTTTGAAAGTGCAAGTGCACAAGAGGAAAAGGAGAGATGTCGGTGCAGTAGAGAAAGTTCTGGCAGCATCAGATCCCTTCAGTGGAGCGTGGTGAAGATGCACAGCCCTTGTTAGTGTTACGTCTCTCCCCCCTGGAAGCCTGGACCCAGTTCTGTGCACACACTCGACTTCCAGCTCCTCAGGTTTGGGTCATTGACTTGTTTCTTGCTTGGACAAATGGAAGCAGGTACAGCAAATCCTGTATTTGCAGGCATGGGTTCACCCCGACACTTCCTGTGTGTGTGGGAGTGCCTGGCACTGATGTTCTTGGTCATCCTGGCTTCTCCCTCCACTGCTGCCTGGGCTGAGTCGTTTCCCCGGGGGCGGCGGGGGGGGGACACAGAGCTCAGAAACTTGTCACTCTCTCCTCGTGTGTTTTCTTACTTGGGGTTTGAATGAAGATTTTTACTCGCTGCATTGTGTATTCAGAGCTCTGGGTGTATCACTTGGTTGACGTAGCTTGTGATGTGTAAGTATGCATAGAGAAGTATGCTTAGAGAAATGTTACCCAGGAGGCAGTTCTCTACATTATAGCTGCCCATTTAGGGCATCTCCTGTGTCCAGACGTCCTCCCACCCACCGTCTGACTGCCCCTCCGCTTCCCTCACTCAGTCCTAACAGATCAATTGCAGTCTCTTCATTGGGATGTGTCTCATGATCCCAGAGGGTCCCATCCATCCCATGCTCAAGGTCATGGGTCAGACATCCATGTACCTCTCCTGGGCAGCCTCAGGTCAAAGCTCTAATTCACACCTCTCACTGGACCCAGAGCTGAAAATGTCCACAGTGCAAACATCGCCTTCTTTGCCTCGCACCTGCTTCTCTCTTTGGAACTCCAATGTAGGTGGATTCACTTTGTCCTCTGTGCCTGCATGTGTTCTGTGCAGTGTGTACAGGCGGTGACAAGGCTGAGTCTTTAGTGGGGTGTGATGTGCAGAGTCCCAGAGAAACATGCTCTGTGGGTTGGTGCCCCTGACCACGTTCACCTGGGGTCTCCCTCCATGCCTGCATCTCAGCCCCTGATGACTTTTCTTTGGATTCTTTTCTAATTGTGGCTCCAAATATGAAATAGTAAGAATGATGAGATCAAGGTCTGATGCAATAATGTAGTGGTTAAAGTCCTCACCTTGAATGCGCCGGGAGAGAGAGAGATCTAATAATTACATAGCTACTTCACTACTGTCTTCTGTATGCCCAAGTCATTTAGTGCCCTGATTTTGGCACTCCATCCAGTTCTGTATTGTAGATGACAGTAACCCAGGTATTTGGGTCATCGCCTGCTGCCCCCTAGTGACATCAGCGGGAGACTTCATCTGTAGCAGGACCAGATGGATCCTGGGCACTGTGATACACATGCAGGTGTCCCAGGTGGCCGCTCTGGCCTCTGCCCCACAGCACCTATCCACATGTGAACATTCAAAAGCAGGTAATGTACACCTCTTTCCCCTCCACGTGACTGGGAATCTGCTCCCACTGTCAGTGTTGTAATGCTGTGCCCTACAGCAATGACCTCCGGCTGTGTGCATGCTATTTGATTATGTTTTACTTTTGTTCATGCTGCCAACTACATTTGTTCTGTAAGTGAGACCTGGCAAGAAGCTCAGAAATCCTCAAGTTTGTGGCCCTGCAGCTGACTTTGTCCCACACAACACAGGAGCAAAGCCAAGCATGACACAAGTGCCCTCAGCCTCTCACTCACTAGCTTCTTCCACCCGCCTCCTTCTAGGATAGACTCATCTCATCTGCGGATACACAGCTCACAGGCCTGCATCCCTCCCTCCACTTCCTGGACAGGACTCAATAGGAGCTGTAAACAAAAACGGTTTCTTCATTTTTATTTGAAAGGCAGAGTGACACGGAGAGAGGCATAGACACAGAGAGAGAAATTTCCCATCCATCGCTTCATGCCCCAAATGGCCACAATTGTTAGAAGTGGGCCAATCTAAAGTCGGGAACCAGGACACTTTTGGAGGGTCTCCCACATGGATGCAGGGGGAATCCTGCATCCCAGGATGCTGCCTCCCAGGCACATTAGCAGGGATATGGAGCAGAACTGGGGGTGTGAGAACTCAAATCTGTACTGATACGGGGGGTGCCTGTGCTACCTCAGAGACTTATGTTGATACACATCAGCCCAATAGGGACTTTTTAAAAATCAGACACGAAAATTATCCATTCATAATGCAACATTTGTGCTTTTATGGGTTTTTATGTAAGTGACGTGTTGAGGGTAGCCGTTTGGTATGATCACCAAGAAGCAGTGAAGTACGCCTGCATCTCCCATTACGGGGCGCGTTCTGAATGTGCATCCTGGTTCCATCTGGAGAAGTAAAGCTGACCTTGAGCAGCGTAAATTCCACAGGTCAGCAGGAGCATTTGGCACCCAGGATGCCTGCCAAGGATGCTTTCCTGATAGACGGAATCCAGTGGGTCCTTTTCAGTGTGTAAGTCCAAGGTTTCTTTTATCTCATAGATCATCATCGCTCTGGAGTTTTCAACCCTGTAACAAGCACGTGGAGAGCATACCGTGCCAGGATTCCATGTAGGCACAGATTCCCATCCAGCTTCCTGCCTGTGACCTGGGAAAGCAGTCGAGGACGGCCCAAAGCCATGGGACCCTGCACCCGCTTGGGAGACCTGGAAGAAACTCCAGGCTCCTGGCTTCAGATCGGCTCAACTCTGGCTATTGTGGCCATTTGGGAAGTGATTCATCGGATGGAGGATTTTCCTCTCTGTCTCTCCTCCTCTCTGTATATCTGACTTTCCAAAATAAATAAATAAATAAATAAATCTTTTAAAAAATAAACAAAATGGAAACATTGCAAATGCACGACAGGCGCAGACAGCTGCTGAGACCGACAGCAGAAAACAAGGCACGAGGGAAGATGAGCTGTGAGGCACACGGAGGGATCTGCAGTCAGACGTATCCGGGTGAGGCCCAGCTGCACCTGCTGCTCTTGCATCAACCTTCACAGAAAGGAGGCAGTGTCCCTCGGGCCTCCTGCTCTGGGATCAGAGAGAAAGAGTGAGGGCGTGGAGAAGTACAACCATGCAGGGCAAGGCCGAGAATATCATGAGGCTGTGCAGGGTTCCATGCAGACTGACCAAAGCAATGCGTCCAGCTGGGTCGCATATATTGATGTTATTTCCCTTCCTCTGTTCAGGCTACAATGCCTGTTTTACTGGTGAGAAATGAGGCGGCATCCTGGATGCTCAGGTCTGCAGCTGTGCAGCTCACACTGCCCCACTCTGCACCAGAGTGAACGCAGCCTGGCACACACATTCTCACACTCACTCCTGAGCTCCTCCACCTGCTGCTTCCAGGGTACAGTCTTATCTCGTGGGACATACAGCTCACAAACCCTCATCCATTTCTCTGCTTTCTCTCCATTATTCATGAGTCACTGGGAGTCACTGGATATCAAGGAGTTGAACATGAGATCTGTGTATACCTCAAGATTTTAGCTTTGCCTAAGACAAAGATATGTTGTCCTATTGGTATAATCATGTGATGCCCTTTGAGTTCTCATTTACACAGAGTGTCAGGGATGGTACTGGGCAAGGACAATATGAAGCTCTTCTGCTCACTTGCTCTTCTGCATCTCCTATCCGAGTGTCCATCCTGCGCTCACGTCCTGGCTGCTCTCCTGACTGGAGCTTCCGGCTCCTGTGAACTCTGGGGAGCAACAGGTGAATCCTTGCCAAGGAGAGTTTGGTGGATTTCCTGGCTGTTGCATCAGCCTTGCTCAGTCTGTCCACTAAGAAATCGGGTTAGTGAACCAGTAGCTTAGAAATGTGTTTCTTCCTTTATCTCTCTGGGTGTGATTCTGTCTCTTTCTCACTGTGTCTTTGCCATTTAGGTAAGTAGAATAAACACAATGGATATTTATAAGGAACGTGGTAGCTGACATACCTCCTCAGCCGCTCTCTGCAGCACACTTGCTCGTGGAGCACATTCTTAGAGTTGTGTCCACCTGCTCCATGTTTTGCAGTGCTGCAGTGGTCTCATGGAAGAATGGACACAACGGAGAAGCTGGAAGTGCCATAGGTACAAACATTGGTGATCACTAGGAATAAGAAAGGGGCCAAGGAACACCCCTTTCCCATCGTAGTGCCGACTAATTTTGCAGTTTTGTTACCCTGCCTCTAAGGGCTGAGCGTTCTGGCTGTGTGAGAATTGGTTTTTGTTACACTTCCCCATGGGTTTGTATCACTGTGTGCAATGTAACTGCCTACTTCTAATACACAGAAGTAGTCAGCCTCATCCTCTGCTTGAACCCCAGTGATGGTGAGGACCGCATTGTCCTCAGAGACGGAGCCAGAGAAGCGACCAGGGACCCCAGAGGGGCGGCTGTTTGTGCTATAGATGATCTGGTGGGGAACCTGGCCTGGGGTCTGCTGGAACCAGCCTGGGTTGCGCCCTTTAGTCGCTAAACCAGAGCTCAGGCTACACGTCATTGTGACTGTCCCTCCGAGAGCCACAGACACTGATGATGGCTCCTGGACCACAGTCTGAGAATCCACTCCTGAAAGGGATAAAAGAGACACAATTACGACTGTGCACACAGTTGTCCCCCCAGCCCTTGCTTTCACGCTGGCCTCCTCCCAGGACCTTCTCCGGGATGCTCATGATCCCCCTGACCTGAGCTGAGGGCCAGGAACCCAAGGAGCAGCAGCATCCAAGCCATGGTGGGGACACTCAGGAGAGTTCCTCAGCAGGGTCTGTGCACCTCAGTCTTTTATTGCCTCCCCAGGCCCATCAGCAGGAGATGGGGCTGTTTTATGCAAATGAGTTTCCTCTCCCTCTTCCTGCTCTCAACCCAGGGGCCTATTCTGAGGTTCACACACAGCAGTGACTGCACAAGGACTTTAGTAGATGGGCTGATAAGCACCATGGGAGGACGGTCTCCTCCCATTACTACTCTGCAGGTTAGGAGTAGCCTCTACAGACACATTTGTTTGATTCTTGGGGTTCAGGAAGCTCACTCAGGGGCAGTGAGGGGACTGCACAGCCCTCATCTTCCTGCTTCCCCTGTAATGCACCGCTGGCCACACTGTGCACCTGCATTGCCCAGTCGTCTCCAGCAGCTGAGTGGGGCAGAGTCTGGAAGACCTGGAGGAATCTGCTAAAGGAGACTCCAGGGTGTAGACAGACTCGGCTGATGGGGCTGACGGCCATTCTGGGGTTTTTTTTTTAGGAAGCAGAGAGTCTGGGGCTAATTCTGCTCTCAGAGATTCCTCCAGGAGAACGAACGGTTCTACCACAGGTCACGTGCAGATCGACGCACACAGAAGGATGATTCAGCCAAGCAGTGTTGCCTGTGTGTGTGAGCAGTGGGGTCCTGCAGCCATGACAAGGAATGGAGAGCTCACAGCAGAAGCATGGATGGGTTCCCAGGGTGTGACACTGAGTGTTGGGACCCAGTGGAACAAGTAAGAGTGCACACTTTTGTGATGATGAACCTGCCCACAAAACCTCATCTGTGTCCCAGATGCTGACCTCTGGGAGGTGGGGACAGGGCTGGTGGAATCTGAGTTAACACAGCAAGTATCACGCTTTGCTGTCTATGGGTATAGAATACGTATTTGTTAGCATTGTGAATATATGCAGTGTGCGTATATGATTTGTCTCTTCTTATGTATTTATTCCACAGCAGGGGGTTATGCCAATGTGGTGCCGTCATCATTCCTTAGCAGAGTCTATTCAGCTTCAGGTCCATCTTCCTGAGAGTCCACTGGGCAGATAGTGGAAGAAGGTTGGCTCCATAGGCCTCTCTCTCCCAGGTGGACAGGGGGACTAGAATTACCGGATCCACACAGCACTGTGTTATAGATCTGCATGTTGCAGACATTTGGGGAGTTAACTAACAGATGGAAGCGTTCTTCTTTTTCTCTCATTGTGTCTCTCCCAGTCTGATTTTCACTTACATACATAAGTAAATCTTTGGAGTAGTGTTTATGATGTTATTCTCATATGAAATCATACTGATCCTTGTGATTTTTTGACATTGTGCTTTTACAAAATATATTAATGTTGGAGACGCGGCGTGGTGGAAGTACGAATGGAACGCTGATGTCTTCTGCTCTTGTAACAGGTGTGCCATTTTTATAAACACATTTCAGTCCTGCGCTGGAGATTGTTGTGCCATGAATGTGGGGCTGCAGGCGGAAGAGCCCACCTGCATTTCTGCGGTAACCTCGGAGGCCACTTCCTAGGATGTTCAGAATAGTGTTTCTGGTGGAATTCCAAAATCTGGAGGCAGAGGATGCTCTAAGATGGAAGCACCGGGGATGAAGGACAGGTGCAGACAGCCGCTGGGACTGAACAGCAGAAGAGAATGCAGGTGGGGGTGAAGGGCAGGAGAGGACAGACTGAGGGGTCTGGGGTCACAGTGATCCGGATGAGGTCCAGCAGTGGCTGCAGCTCCTGTGTCCATCTTTGCAGTAGGAACAGAGTCCCTCTTGCTTCCAGTTGTCGGATCGGAGAGACTGAGGGAGAGAACAGAGAATCGGGGTAGAGCTGAGAGCATCAGGATCCCGGTCAGGGCTCCGGGCAGACTGACTTGTAGGATCTCCATCCCTGGAGACTGGGAAACGTGACCAAGCCTGCTCAGAGCTCACTGTGAACAACATGTGGATACAGTTAAGTCCTGAATCTTTGCAGGAGAGAGCAAGGGGACAGGGAGGACCGAGAGGACAAGGAGAAAGGAGATGCAGTGTTGAAGGGTACTTATCGCTGGGAATCAGTGGAAGCTGTGCCAGGGGGCCGTGCTCCTCACAGACAGCCCCTGTGTGTGACTGTGATGATAGCTTACATTCTGGAATCCCATGAGCACCTGTGTGTGTGATATGGATGAGCTGTTGAGTACTCCCGGCAGCTGACACAGGGTTTCTTCTCAATCATTCATTCTATACCACATGGGGCAGTGCCATGCACCTGTCACCTCCTCCCCCTTTATCTTCCCCATCAGCTCTGGTGTAGGCATTATCCTGTGTGTCTCTTTCTCTTAACCCTGGGCACAGCTGGCACAGACATCTACCTTGGTAAAGCACTGGGGTCTGTGAGTGCGGAAGTATTTGTCTCACTTCCTCGTCATCTGAAGCGCTGTGTCAAACCAATACTGTCCTCACTGGCATAAGCTGTAGCGCAGTAATAGTCAGCCTCATCCTCAGGCTGCAGCCCAGAGATGCTCAGGATTCCTGCGTTGGCTGTGTCGTCTTTGGATCCAGAAAAGCGGCTGGGGATCCTGGAGCCCTCCTGTTTATCTTTGTACGGGTTGTAGGTCAGGAGATACTTAGGAGGACTCCCTGGCCTCTGCTGGAACCAAGCTACACCATAACTTCCTACACTGTATCCACTGCTGAGGGTGCAGCTGAGTCTGGCAGTGCCATCCAGTGGTGCAGAGAGGGAGGGCGGCTGAGTGAGCACAGGCTGAGAGAGGGAACCTGCAGACACAGACACAGGGGGAGGGAAGCAGTCAGGTTCCCATTGTCTAGCAGTCTGAGCCAGAGATCTGGTGCAGGATGGGAGCTGGACCCCCAGGCCGGCACCTACCTGTGCAGTGAGCAAGCAGCAGGAAGAGGAGTGGAACCCAGGCCATGATGCTCACAGCCCCTTCTTAGGTGACACCCCTGTGTCCTGACTGCTCCAGGCCTCTCTTATTTCAGCCCCTCCAGCCTGGGAGGAGCTAAAAATGCAAATGTGGTCCTACCCATCTCTCTGCCCCATGTCACCCACAGATTTTATGTCCTGAAAGCTGGCAGGATGACCTGTTTATCCCATGGCTGCACCTACATGGAAACAACAGATGGATACACTCCCAGACCCACAATCAGGGCATTTGATGAGATGAGGAGAGGACATTGCTGAGTCCCTGCAGGTAGTGAAAACTTAGCCTTGAGGTCTCACATCAGCTGAGGACAGCTGGCCAGCACAGAAACCCAGAGATGAGCGTACTGCGCCTCCTGCTGGCCAGGGAGAAAATTTCATTCTTCGCCTGACTCCTGAGTCTCATTTACCCTCCTTTGCTTCCTTGAATGCCTTCATCCACCACTGTGCCCTCAGAAAGAGCTGGCATGCTAGATGCCAGTGTGCTGTTGATTCTGTATCGAAGCTCAGGAGATACTAAGAGGGCCCTCCCGCTTGTCCCGATACATCAACACCACAGCCAGCAACCCTGATGTTACGACTCGGGCAGCAGGGAGATCTGGACAATGACCCCTGTGATGCAGACAGGGAGGGACTGGAGACAGCCAGGCCGAGAGACAGAAGCTCAGACACAGATGCCTGCAGCTGACGGGACCCAGAGGCTGCAGCTCTTTCAAGCAGAGGGGCACACTCAGGCTGTGCCTGACCTGGGTTGCTGAGGTTCTTCATTGCTGTGCAATGAGAGTGGAGCCAGCAGTGATTATCCAGACCGCGGGGAACACAGCCAGAGTCTCCAGAGGGACCCCAGACTCCCATAGCCTGTGCCCTGGATGGGGGAACAGATGCTGAGCCTGGGTTTGTATCCCCGCCCAGGGTCTGCTTCTCCCCTCTCCATCCTGAGGTTTATCGTCATTCTGAGGGTGTCCCTGGGGTGGGGCCTGCATTAAATGAGCTCCTGCTAAGATCTGGGCAAGTCTGAAAGTAAGAGACTCAAGGCCGAGTGGTCCCAGGGGTGGACACCCTATCAGCGATCACAGCTCCTGATCCAGATCCAGACTCAGAGGTTCAAACCATTCGTACTTTCCTCTATGCAGACCCACTAGTATGGAGACATGCTGCCCCCTGCAGGCCATGGGTGAGACTTCAGGTTCCTCTCTGGTCCCTGGACCTCCTGGACATTCCCACGGGACCCTGCAGCCCCAGGCACCAGTGGAGACACCTGAGCACCAGCTCCTGGGCTCAGCTCTCAGGACCCTGCAGCAACACACATGTTTGATAGTGTGGGATTCTGTTTGTGATTTTTTTTCTGTATATTTAATTTTTAATATTTTTTTCATAGCCGAGAGGAATGAATGCCTATCAGGCCCTCTGATTCTGGCGGGGGTTGTCATAGTGTGGAGGTAGGTGGGAAGAGATATATGTTCCACTTCTTTCCTCTTTTTTCCTTTTTTTTCTTCACAGGGGAAGGCAAGGGGACCCACTCCTTGGTGTGAAAATACATCAGCAACTTGGAATGGGGAGGGCTGTTTGATGTTGCCAGAAGGACCTCCAGGTGGGTAAGAATGCTCCAAGAGTGTCAGCTGAGTGGTTTTGATAGTTCTGAGATGTTGCAGGTTCATTGTACAGGAGTTGAGGAAATCTTTTCGTGGGCCATTGGCTGACCAGATCCACCTCGGTGTATTCACAGAGCTAGACACCTGCTATAAGACCTGGCCAGGAGCGTTGTTTAAACTGTCCTTCTTCCATCTCATGATGAGGTACTGGATGTTCTTCTGTTGGCTCGTCTGCTGCCTAGCAACCAGGCTAAGGTGTAAATTTTAGAATACAAGATCTTGGTGTTATTTAGCCCAACCTTATATCCCACAGTTCAAGAATACCCTTAGAGCATCAACAAGCATGTATGTGTTATATGCTTAGGTGCACTGTGTAAGACTTTAAACCATTCATTGCACACAGAGTTTGGAAAACAATTCTACTTCATACTCTGCTTTGGGGAATATTGTAAATGACTGCAAGTTGTGCTTAGATTATTATCTATACATCAACATGATCCTTGCAAATCAACACCACTCTTCTGACTCATCATGTGTCTGACATAATTGGTGTGTAGAGTCAAACGGTGCTCTGTTACTGACAACACAAGATGTTAATAAAGTCCATCTGACTTGGTGACAGCACCCATGTGTCTTTGGGGATATTTGGGAATGGTTTCACTTGTCAGCATCTTGGGGATTAAGGCGACCACGATCATCATCTTAGCACTGCGCTCAGGATGCCTGCATCGGACGAGGAGTCTCTGGATCCAGAGAAGCAGCTGGGCATCACGGCACTTTGATGTTTCCGGGAGTCTGAATAGTATCTCAGGAGATATTTGGGAAGTTTTCTGGCACTGGCTAGTGTGAATATATGTGGGAACTCCCAACACTGTAGCCCCAGCTGAGGGTGCAGGTGAGTCTGACAGCTCCATCCAGAGATAAAGGGTAGCATGCCAGCTGATGGAGATAGGCTAGTGGGGGAACCTGCAGACACAGACACAGAGGAGGGGCAGAGTTCAGGGTCCCACTTTTCAGGGGTCTGACCAAGGGATCTGCTGCAGATTGGGACCTGGTTACCCAGGCCTGTGCCTCCCTGTGCACTGAATGAGGAGGAGAGGAAGAGAGGAGGAGAGGAGCCCAGGCCGTGCTGCTCACAGACCTTGAACTCACAATGGGCTGCCTGCCCCAGGCCTCCTTTTCTCTGCCAATGTGCCAGAGGAAGGGCTTCTCATGCAAATGTGTCCCCACCCAGGGACTGACCGGGCTATTCCTCAGCTCTAGGACTGTGATCAGCTCACACTGCAGGCAGGTGGAAGGTGGGAGGGTGACGGTTTGCTTTAATCCCGGGGGCATCCTCAGAGTAAGCACCTGTAAGACAGGTGCTTCTTCAGGGGAGGGAGACACAGATAGATGCTCAGTCCCCATCACTGAGCACGGGGTCCAGCCCTAGGCCAGAGCAGTCCCACAGTGTCCCCTGCTGTCCACAAGGCCAAAACCTCCTCCTGGCCCAGAGTCCCAGGAGAGCAGCTGGTTCTGAAGCTCCCAGGTGCTGTCTCCATTCCACAGCCAGGGTCTGGTATCTAGATCTCGGATGCTGATGCTCCGGGTGCTTCAGAATGACTGACAAGAGCCACTCTTCAGGCTCTCAACTGTTGAGGTGACTTCAATGGTGATTCCTCTTCCTGCCAATACTTTTTAGAAATTGCTACATCTTAATTTCATGTGTTTCCAAACAGAAACAGTTCCCACTGTTCATCACACACCCTCTACTCCAGGCTCTGAAGTCCAGGGAAACCTTAGGAGGAAGACAAGGATTGATCGCAAGCATTTGCTTCTACCAGGCACACACGTCCTAATCTCTGGCCTCATTTAGGCACATTGTTCTCTCCATCGTATGTGTAAAGTCCTAATGTCTGACGTCAGAGCTAATTAGGGTGATATCTATGCGTGGGCATTGAAGAGACTCTGGAAGAAGCTGCGGTGGAGTGCTCATGGAGCCCCAGTGTTGGAATTCAGACCTGATACTCTCCTGAAAACTCACTGCCAGGCGAGAGAGTAACCGGGCAGTCCCCACAGGGCAGCAGGACCTTATGTGGTCTCATCATCACCACGGATATGCTCTTACAATTTGCATATACTTCTAAGAAGGAATAGTGAGACACGCAGTGCTCTTTCTGCAAAGTACATGGCAGAAAAAGAAATGTTTGAGGGACCCGACCTCAGGCTCCCTGGGAGTCATGTGACAGCCCTCACGGTTAGAGAGAACAGTTTTTGTGCCACTTCTCCATTCATCTGTCTCATTGTGCTATCACCGGAACCACAGGTGTAGTCGGCTTCATCCTCAGGCTGGAGGTTGGAGATGGTTAAGTAGTAGTTGGCCCCAGAGCTGGAGCCTGAGAAGCGATCAGGGACTCCGGACCCCTTGGTGAAGCTTCCATCACTGTAAACCAACATCAGGTACCGAGGGGCCTTCCCCGGCTGCTGCTGCAGCCATGCAATTGCATAGTAACTGTGTGCACTGCTCAGGGTGCAGGTGAGCTTGGCCGAGGCTCCCAGGGCGGCAGATGCAGAGGGTGACTGAGTCAGCGTAAATTGGGAGAGGGACCCTGGAAGCATAGACACTCAGTACTGAGACAAATTTATCAAAATAAAGCAGAAAATCAAAATATATGAAAGTTGATGGGCTGCTATGCTGCAACGCTGAGTTTTGTGCCTACCTGTGCAATGCAGGAGGAGGAGAGGAGCCCAGGCCATGATGCTCACAGCTCCTGAGACTCATGGTGGCTGTGCTGCCCCGGGCCTCCTTTTCTCTGCCACTGTGCCAGAGGAGTGGCTGCTCATGCAAATGTGTCTCCACCCAGGGACTGTCAGGTCCTTCCCATGTCATGTAGCTGATCTAAACTCCCACTGCAGGCTGAAGAGAGCGAGGGTTGCTTCACTCAATGGAAGACCCGGAAAGAAGCAGGAGTGAGGCAAGAGGATGACATAGTTCTTTGAACTCTGCCAGGCCTGAGAGCACACAGCTGCTTGTTCCCCATGAGTGGGTACAGATGCCAGCCAGGTGCTCAGCTTTAATTTGTGTGAATGGTTTTCATTGAGCAGCTGTATGGGGACCACAGGGCAGTCCTACAGCATCCCCTGCTGGCCACATGGCAGAAACCATCCCTATAAGGCCCGGAGCCCTGAGGGAGCAGATGGTCTCTGCAGCTCCCGGGCGCTGTCTCCATCCCACAGCCATGCTCTGAGTCTGGATCCTGGGATGCTGATGCTCTGGCTGCCTCCTGTCTCCTCACTCCTGAGCGAGACCCGACCCACGATCCACCTATGTAATTATCACCAAATATTTATTCACATATTCAATTTTTTGAAAGAATAGTTGACAATGACATGAATGAGAGAGAGAGAGAGAGAGAGAGAG